TTCGTTAAAATTTAGCATAATATAAGTGTTTATCTTAAATTTGTTTTTAGTTAAGAGTTTATTAAATAATAACTATAAATAAATCAAAATTAAGTAAAAGATTCTACTTAATATAAGTATAATATGCTAATTAATGGTTAAAAGCTTAAACAGCTAAACAGCATAAAATCTGCCTTTGTTATTTGCTATTTAACCTTTTTCCTATCAAAACTGCAATATCGGCTTTTATCACAAAAATTTTACTTATTCGTATCGTTTATCAATTTTAATTTCTGTGTTATATGCAAGTAAACTGTTCATTTCTTTTAATATACAAGTAATTCTGTTGAAAAACTGTAGTATAGTTTAGTTTTAATTTGTCTTTTTTAATTTTATTTGTTTATTTCGTGTAATTATTTACTGTGCAGTTTCATTTTCTATTGCGAGAACTGAAAGGCTAGAGTAATCCCCGCTTACCGGCGACTCTGTCAGAGGATGGCTTTAAATGGTCTAAAAATGTGAGTGGAGAGGTCAATGAGTACGTCGACAGGTTCCGAATAATTACACAGGTTGATCAAAAATAACACGTTTAATAAACAACTATAAAATTATTCATATCGAAGGCAAAAGCAAAAACGGAACAAATCGAAATAATCAAAAATTCTATTCTAGCTCGCCACAATGATTTGTCTTTCCAATGGAACATCTACGTTCCATTCTTGAGAAATGTCTCTAAGAGGGACGTCTCGGAGAGCGAGAAAGTCAAAATTTCTAAAAATACCTCTCACTCTGGTATACGACGTAGTCTGAACTACCGTGGACGTGGAAGGTGATCATCTGGTTATCTTGGGAGAGAGACGGCGGGTATGGCAGGTAGCGACGGACAGAATGGCGGTAGGGGTCTGGTGTCCGCTTTAGATGTACCCGGATGCTCGCAGCTGTTAACGTCCGTTCGCAGGACTGTGTTTCAGCGGAGAGGGAGGACTATACTCTTCCCGGAGGGGGAGGGAAATCGGGGAAAATTCTGATGCAAATCCATGTAATTTCGACTCGTCCGGAATTGTTTATGTTAGTTGTCAAACATCCGAATCCTTCTGTAGATTTATCACTTTATCTATCCGGTATTGTGACGTCCCTCTCATAAATTTGATAACAGTTGTCAAACTAACGGAATTGCTAGAGGTGACTAGGTTCATAATTATTCTTGCACCTTAGTAATGATTGTTGCCTTCTATGGCCATCTTGATCTGTTTTCTCATCGTTCACATCCAACGTAATAGAGGGGGGGGGGTTGTTCGGTTCGGTTTACCCTTGTCGGTGACCTTTTTCGTTACCCTTTATCACAGGGGTGTCCAACCTTTTTGTTTCTCTGGGCCGTATTGGAAGAAGTCAAGGAGTTTTGGGCCACAAGTACATGTAATATATACAAGTATATTTAAAAATTAACATGTCTAGATTATAATAATAAGTATTAAAACTTTATCAAGAAAATGAATATTTTAAAAATTACTTCTACAGGCACTTTTAATTTCTACTTAGAAATAGATAAATTGATTTATTATAAAAGACAAACGAAAATTTGGGTTTCTAATTAATAAAAAGCGACGAAACACCATTTTAAAGTGCATTTTATTCAACTAATATAATTATAAATGCGAAAAAGTAGCCAAAGCGCCAAATGATATTTTTTATTTTTTACGTCAAACAAAAGAAGTAGCCACATTAGGCGCAATGTAGCCAAATCTTGCAACGTTGGAAAAAATACTAAATAAAGCTGTAGTTGTGAATCAAAGAAATATAGACTCAAGTGCGGGGAAAGGAGAGAAAGAACAAAAGATAAAAAGTAGTGAGGAAGGCTGGAAAATTCAGGGTCCATATTTGCTTAACAGATCTATTTAATCTTTCTCACTACTACATCTTTTGTCCTTTCTTATCTTTCATTCCTTTTCCCAAATTTGGTTCTATAATTATTTGAGTCACAACTCCAGCTTTATTTAATAATCCTTCCTCATTCACACATGTCCAAGTATTAGAAAATATTTCCTTTCCACTCAAAAATAAAATATGAATAAAGGTTTACGGCTTTGTAAAACTTTTTTTTTGAGTTTATGCCGTTGAAATAGATAAATAATAAAAGAATAAAAAAATTTGTCGGTTTTGTTTACACGTTTATTGGGCCGCACTAAAACTTGCCTTGGACACCCCTGTTCTATCATGTAACAAATTGAGGTTATTGTTAACTGTTTGGTTATTTGTAAATCATAACGAAGGTGGAGATGAATAATCCCCGGGGGTGAGAGGATAACTTTATCTGTCTTCCTAAACGTCTTTGACAGTACCTTGCTGATTCAAAAAGTCCACCGTCGACTTCCTAACAAAAACGAAACTGGAAGAAGAAGAAAAAAAAATTTTTGTTATTAAAAAAACAACAAAAATTAGGGAATAAAAACGAAAATAACAAATGCAGTTGTAAAACTGCATTTGTTATTCTCTTTTGTGTACTGACAAATATCAGCTGCTATTGCTGACGTGTATTTTATTGTAAAAGCAGATTAAATAAAAATTAAATATGGATAATTTGAAAAAAATAACATACTCAATAATTATATTTCGCTTATTATTTACATCTTTTTTTATAAAGAGTTCAAATTTTTATGCTTTTTCCATGAAAAATCGTATATAAATAACTTAAAACAGAAAAGGATGAAACGAATGCTGTATTCTTTTGCCTTTCAATACTGTTTAGTTTCTGTGTTAACGAAGGGTTCAGAACTGTATTTTAATTCAAACATTTTTCCTCTGTAAGGAAATAGATAGAAGACGGCATGACAATTGCTACAGTAAAAGTATAATATACAGAGGAACACGACTAGTAATTTGTGGTGGTGCACGTATTTTAAATAAATAAAAAATAAAAATATAATAAAAAGTTGTTTGATGAATTTACAAAAGAAACTGTTTAAATATAATCAAAATTTAAATAAGGAATTCCTAATTCTATTTTTTAACTGAAAAAATATTTTGTGAAGAACGTGTGTAGAATTTACAACCGAAACAGGTGCAAATATCGCGCTGTACATCCATGTGACGTCAAATCACAACTTGTACATATTAAAACACATAAATTAGTGTTATATAATATAAACCGTAATTGCTAATTGAAGTCTCAATTTACGCATTCTCTTTTGCTTTTCAGTTGCAAGTAGAATCATGATGAAGTTTTTGCTGCCGTTTTTCATTTTAAGTACTTATTTATTTATNATATTAAATATGAAAAAGCAATAGAAGCAAATTAGCTGATTCTCCTTGAAAAAAAGTATTCATTATTATGTAAATATTGTATTTAAATTCATTATTTATTCCAATTGGAAAAAAAATTAGTTACAATTGACTGTTTTAAATATATTCCTCGGTAAAAGCAGATTTATATCAATATTTTTTATTCGTAAGTGTGAAATTTAAGTAAGAATTAAGCGAGTTTATCTGAATGTCGATTAATCCCAGGAGATGTTGTTTGACAAGTTGTCCTGGATTTGAATGATAGCGAATAGAATTATTTTGCAGAATTATTGAGCTGCAATTTGAATGAATTGTAGACCTATTGTCTTTTCTTAATTAACCTTGAAAACGTAGTTAGATAGATGAAAATCTAAACCAGTCACTTGAGATTTTAGATGTTTGCCCTTATTAACTATTTAGTAACATACCATACAAAACTGAAGTGACTGTATTATAATTCAAACATTTTCCTGTGTAAGGAAATAAATAGAAGACGGCATGACAATTGCTACAGTAAAAGTATAATATACAGAGAAAAACAACTAGTAATTTGCGGTGGAGCACGTATTTTAAATAAAAAAAAAAATTAAAAATATAATAAAAAGTTGTTTGATGAATTTACAATACAAACTGTTTAAATATAATTAAATTTTAAATAAGGAATTCTTAATTTTATTATTTAACTTTAAAAATATTTTGAAAAGAACAAGGGTAGAATTTACAACAGAAACAGGTGCGAATATCTCGTTGTACATTTATGTGACGTCAAATCACAACTTGTACATATTAAAACACATAAATTAATGTTATATAAAAAAATCCGTCATTGCTAATTGAAGTCTCAAATTACGCATTCTCTTCTGCTTTTCAGTTGCAAGTAGAATCATGATAAAGTTTTTGCTGCCGTTTTTCATTTTAAGTACTTATTTATTTATTTTCTTGTTCTTTTTAAATATTTTTTCACGATATTAATATTTATTCTTTATTTGTAATTTATTTATAAGGTTTAATTCCAAAACAACCCGGAAATTGTGTGCTCGAAGTAATTGTAAAAATTGTGAAGGAAAATCTTGATTTTAACACTTTATTTCCTGAAGTGACTGAAGAGGTGAAAGTAGCACTTATTGTAAGTAAAAACGTTTAATTAATTTAAATAATTAATAATGTACAGCGTTTCAATCTGCGCTAGTGTTATTATAGAAACATAGTTTGTTTTCGCTATTTCTAGAGCTAGGACATTTATCTACTAAATACTATATAAACAGTTATGACACGTGTCACTTCATATTTCAAGACGACAAAGTCATATTTATTACGATAATCTAAAGTATCTTTGTAAGAAAGGCAACTTCTGGATTCATAATTGTTGTGTTATTTTAGAATATTCATTATTAATTTTTGTATACCATAGGAAATCATAGGAAAACCATAGGAAAACCAATTGAACAATCGTTATTTCGCATTAACTTAGAAAATTCATTCGTAATAAAAAATTTACGATAATTATTGCTTTGTGTTAACAGGCTTTGTGTTAACAGCTAATAAAAATTATTAATTAATTAATTAACTTTAATTTTTAATTAATATAATTGCAACAATTACTTGTATTGTTTGGTAAAACTTTATTGTAAGATATATTTAACGTTTACATTTCTCTTTATTAACTAGGAATTATACGCCCAAATCTTGAAAAGTAGTGAAAGATTCTCTTTTTGAATTTCAGTCTTTTTTGATATTTTCAGAATATAACAGCTGGGTTACCGCAGTGTCTGGATTCCAGTAGGTTCCCTTCCCTCGGCTGTGAAAATGAAATAGACGGCGGAAGTAACGTGATGTCAAGTGTTACGTATATATCGTGCTTGTTAAAGAAAGTTTGTTTGAATAATGATACTGCTAATTTAGTCAAAGTGGTAAACTGTCTTGCAATACTAAGTACAGCTAGAGTACACTTTGTTTTAGTAGATGTTAAAAGAAATGTTACAGCAAAAATAGACGAATGTATTGGTAGTATTACTAGTAGCCGTGATAAATTAATAAATTGTAATTTGATCGATAAAATTCTAGAATTAAATATTCAATCTACTTTAGATTATATAAATACAAATATTATCGAGAAATCAAGAANAAATATTGTGAAGGAAAATCTTAATTTTGACACTTTATTTCCTCAAGTGATTGAAGAGGTGAAAGTAGCACTCATTGTAAGTAAAAACTTTTAATTAACATGAGTAATTAATAATATATACCGTTTCAATATGCGCGAGTGTTATTATAGAAACTTGGTTTGTTCTTGCTATTTTTGCAGCTAGGACATTTATCTACTAAATACTATATAAACAGTTATGACATATGTCACTTTATGTTTAGAGACGACAAAGTCATATTTGTTACAATAATCTAAAGTGTTTTTCTAAGAAAGGCAACTTATGGATTCATAATTCTGGTGTCATTTCACAATATTCGTTATTAGTTTTTGTATACCAAAATTCTGATAAATATTTTTGGTAAATTTTTAAATGTAATTTGTTGTTATCAAGGTGGCTCATTATAGAAAATAACGTTACTTATGCATAATCACGAATAAACCAATTGAAACTATTATTATTTCGCATTAATTTAGAAAATTCATTCCAAATAAAAAATTTACGATAATTATCATGACATAATTATAGTTTTTGTGTTTTAAAGACTATCAAATATTATTTTTATAAAGGCTTTGTGTTAACAGCTAATAAAAAATTATTAATTAATTAATTAACTTTAATTTTTAATTAATATAATTGCAACAATCACTTGTATTGTTTTGTGAAATTTTATTGTAAGATATATTTAATAATTACAGTTCTGTTTATTAACTAGGAATTATACGCCCAAATATTGAAAAGTAGTCAGAGATTCTCTTCTTAAATTTTATTCTTTCTTGATATTTTCAGAATATAACAGCTGGGTTACCGCAGTGTCTGGATTCGAATAATTTCCCTTCCCTCGGCTGTGAAAATGAAATAGACGGCGGAAGTAACGTGATGTCAAGTGTAACGTATATATCGTGCCTGTTAAAGAAAGTTTGTTTGAATAATGATACGGCTAATTTAGTTAAATTCGTAAACTGTCTTGCAAAACTAAGTACAGCTAGAGTACAGTTTGTTTTAGAAGATGTTAAAAGAAATGTTACAGCAAAAATATCCGAATGTATTGGTAGTATTACTGTCAATACCCGTAATAAATTAATAAATTGTAATTTGATCGATTACATTCTAAAATTAGATATTCAATCTACTTTAGATTATATAAATACAAATATTATCGAGAAGACAAAAACCAATTTCGTAACGTTATTAAAAATTCTTAGTGGAGATATGGAAGCAGAATGTGTAGTTGACTTTGATACATGATAAATTATTTTTGATTTAAATTTACAAAAAAGGAATAAAACATAAATGTAATTTTACTTGTACACAAATGTAGATTTCTGGCTGATTTCATTCTTTTCCGAACAAACATATATATCACACTTTGAAAATTAATTGAATCGGGTAAAAATTTAATAACATCACGTAAAATACTGAAATATTGAGATGCGATCCGACAATATCACGTGTACATTATATAAGAAAGAAAAACAATTGTTTTAGCGTAAATGCATTTTTACGTTCGAGTTGTTGAATGAGTTCATTCAAGTCTGTGCAAGGCTCATTCAATCAGCAGCATGCGTGTTCTCACTTTTTGGGACTTCTGTATTATTGTGTATCTACCTGTATTATTATAGAAACACAAAAATCCGTTCTACCTTTGCACGTTTTCTCCCTGGAAGCTGCACTTTATATGATATAAAACGAATAAGAGAAGAGAAATAAGAAACAGTAAACCCGGGAAGGAATTTTTTCAACAACTGAATTATAACCGAAAACTAGCAATTATTTATTGTGATATCATCAGAATTTTTATAATTTTTACATTTAAAACATTTGAACAATTGTAATAAGGTAACTTCCGGTTAGCGTCCGAAAATAGTGCATAGATAATGGAAATACAGCCAGTCAGACGACAGCGGGAAACATCTGCAGTTTTTTCTAACTGCAGCTCAGTAATAAAATTTATTTAATCGGAATAAAATGCACTTAATAAGTGTTATAAATAAACAAGTTTACGATTTTATTAAATTACAAGCTAATAAATAAAATTAAACAAAACATAAAAGCCATTAATTATTCATAATTTTCGCTTCATTTGTCCAGAAAACAATAGGATAACACCTGTGAATTGCAAAAAACAAACGGTTTTAAAGTTAGCAAAAAGATGATTTTTCGTAAAGATTTATATTTTAAAATTTTAAATTTCGTTTTGTTCAAAATTATTTGGCGAAATTCAGGTGAAGAAATCTTTTTGAAGTTTTTGCGTTGAAAAGAATTTATTATTAGACTCGCTCCTCGGCTCATATACATAACAATTGAAATGGGTCGACTTTACCGAGTGCGGGATAAATGTCTAAGCGTAGATTCTTGACTTGGCTGGCAAAAATTAGGAACAGTGTGGACAGATCAATTTAAAATCCGTAAAANAATTTACAACCGAAACAGATGCAAATATAGCGCTGCTCATCTATGTGACGTCAAATCACTACTTGTACGTATTAAAATATATAAATTAGTGTCATAGAAGATAATCCGTCCTTGCTAATTGAAGTTTTAAATTACGCATTTTCTTTTGCTTTTCAGTGGCAAATAGAATCATGATGAAGTTTTTGTTGCCGTTTTTCATTTTAAGTACTTATTTCCTTGTTTTTAGTTTAGTAAAATTTGTTTTTTTTAAATATTTATTCACAACATTAATATTTATTCTTTATTTGTAATTTATTTTTAAGCTTTAATTCCAAAACAACCAGTAAATTGTGTGTTCAAAGAAATTGTAAATATTGTGAAGGAAAATCTTAATTTTGAAACTTTATTTCCTCAACTGACTGAAGAGGTAAAAGTAGCACTTATTGTAAGTATAAACTTTTAATTAACATAAGTAATTAATATTATATAGCGTTTTAATATGCACTTGTGTTATTATAGAAAGTCGGTTAGTCTTGTTATTTTTGCAGCTAGGGCATTTATTTATCTACTAAACGCTATATAAACAGTTATTACACATGTCACTTTATGTTTCAGGACGATAATGTCATATTTATTACAATAATCTTAAGTATCTTTGTAAGAAATGCAATTCATAATTGGATTCATAATTGCAGCTTCATTTTAGAATATTCATTATTAATTTTTATATATCAAGATTCTGATAAATATTTTTGTTAACTTTTGAATGTAATTTGTCTTGATGGAGGTGAATCATTATAAAATGTACCGTTACTCGTGCTTAATCATGGCGAAACCAATTGAAACAATCATTATTTCCCATTAATATAGAAAATTCATTCCTAATAAAAAATTTACGATAATTATCATAATATAATTCAATTTTAATGACAGTTTACGTCTTTTAAATTTATTAAAAATATTATATTTATAAAGACATTGTGTTAACGGCTAATAAAGGATTATTAATTAACTAGCAAATAGGCCTGGCGTTGCTGGGGCGAAAACTAACAATAGCGAAGATTAAGATTATTACATTATAGTCAATCTTACCATTTACAAAGAATGCAAAAATTAGGTTTCCCGTTTCCAGACTAATTAAAGAATTTTTAGATGGATTAAAAAATGTTTGATTCTCCGCAAAAACGAAAAAACTGTAAACCTTGCCTGTCGCTTTCTCTTAACACTTTCATTATTACTTAACACATTTATTGTTAACACTTCCATTATCGAAGCCTTAATCCTGTTCCAATCCCCTTGGGGGGAATTTCGAAAAATCTCTTTTAAGTGTGCATTCTCGTGACGTACCCTAACTGCGTAGAAAATTTCAACTTTCAACTCCTAACCGTTTGGGCTCTGCGCTGATTATTATTATTATTATCAACTCGTTTCGATTATATATATATTTTTTAATTAACTGTAATTTTTAATTAATACAATCGTAACAATCACCTGTATTGTTTGGTAAAATTTTATTGAAAGGTATATTTAATATATACAGTTTTCCTTATTAACTAGGAATTATACGTGCAAATCTTAAAAAAGTAGTCAGAGATTCTCTTTTTAAATTTTAGTCTTTCTTGATATTTTCAGAATATAACAACTGGATTACCGCAGTGTCTGGATTCGAGTAATTTCCCTTCACTCGGCTGTGAAAATGAAATAGGCGGCGGAAGTGACGTGATGTCAAGTGTAACATATATGTCGTGCCTGTTAAAAAAAGTTTGTTTCAAAAATGATACGGCTAATTTAGTTAAATTGGTGAACTGTCTTACAAAACTAAGTACAGCAAGAGTACAGTATCTGTTAGAAGATGTTAAAAGAAATATTACAGCAAAAATATACGAATGTATTGGTAGTACTACTGTTAATAGCCGTAATAAATTAATAAATTGTAATTTGATCGATAGAATTCTAGAATTAGATATTCAATCTACTTTAAGTTATATAAATACAAACATTATCGAGAAATTAAAAATCAATTTCGTGACGTTATTAAAAATTCTTAGTGGAGATATGGAAGCAGAATGTGTAGTTGACTTTAATACATGATAAATTATTTTTGATGTAAATTTACGAAAAAGGAATAAAATATAAATGTAATTCTACTGTACGCAAATATAGATTTCTGGCTGATTTCATTCTTTTCCAAACAAACAATTATAAGACACCGTGAAAATTAGTTTAATCGAATAAAAATTTAACAACATCACGTTCAATACTGAAATATTGAGATGCGATCCGAAAATATATGAAGTATATTGCGACATCCCGTCCACAGCATAAAAAACAGTCGTTTTAGCTTAAACTCATTTTTACGTTCCAGTTGTTGAATGAGTTCATTTAAGTCTGTGAAAGGCTCATTCAATCAGCCGCATGCTTTGAAATAAAATGTATTGTAAGCAGACGACAACGTTCCCTCGAGTTAAAAATTTTGACACCACCTGTATTATTTTGGAAACAGAAAAATCCGTTATATCTTCGCACGTTTTCTGGACGGGAGCAGCACCTTATATGATATATTTCGGAAACCTTCATTTGCTGTTTTTAAGCAGAAAGAATGAAAATTAACACCTAAACACAAGAAAATTAAGTTTGTTTCGTTTAAACGAAAATTAATGCCTCTTTGTTTAGAAAATATCTGAATCAATCGGATATTTTTAGAGTTAATAAAATAACTTTTTCTCGAATATTTCGCATTAAATAATCTGGTTTATTATTAGGAGTTATTCTGCTGCTGTTGTTTCTGTTTCTGTGTAAATACAGATTACTTGTTTTTACTTTAAAATAGGTTATTTTCCATTTTCTAATCAGGAACTACACCATTATAATAAGTCCTACAAATAAACAAGTCTATAATTTTATTAAATTGCAAGCTAATAACTAAAAATCAAAATTATTTATAATATTCGCTTCAGTTGTCCAGAAAACAATAGAATTACACCTGTGAATTGCGAAAAACGAACAGTTTAGAAGTTAGCTAAAAGTTGATGTTTCGTAAATATTTATATTTTAAAGTTTTAACGTTCGTTTTGCTCAAAATTAACGTAATGTCGAAGAGACGATTTAACTTAAAGTAGATTAAGTTACAAAGTAGCATAATGTAAGTCTTTTGTTAAATTCGTTTTTAGTTTATTAACTAATAACTATAAATAAATCACAATTAAAAAAAGAATCTACTTATTATAAGTAAAATATGTTAATTAATTATTAAAATCTTATTCGTATTATTTTCCAATTTAATTTATGTGTTATATGCAAGTAAACAGTTTATTCCTATAATATACAAGTAATCGTGTTGAAAAACTGTGGTATAGATTTTTAGTTTTAATTTGTCGTTTTGACTTTATTTCGTGTAACTATTTACTATGCAGTTCTATTTCCTATGTTAATTACTGCATATACTTCACCATTTCATTTGTATCTGATTTCATATAATTTTAAATACTTAATTAAACTAAATGGAAATTCTTTTCATGATTTAGGTAATTTTATACATATTTTCGTGATAAAACAATTATGTTATATTTAAGAAAAATTCTTTTTAACTACTTCCAAAACTGCATTAGTTATTCTCTTTACAGACAAATGTCAGCTGCTGTTGCTGACGTGTACTTTATTGTAAATGCAAATTAAATAAAAATTAAAAATGGATAATTTTATAAAATAATAGACTCGAAAATTATATTTTGCTTATTAAAATCTATTTTTNAAACGATTATGTGACATTTATGAAAAATTCTTATTAATTACTTCCACAACTATATTTGTTAGCCTATACTCTTTACTGACAAATGTCAGCTGCTGTTGCTGACGTGTAGTTTATTATTTCGCTATTACACTAAAGATTTCGGTATGAAAATTCTTCCATTTTTGTTCAAACGAAACAAACCGCAACATTCTGGTCCGTTTAGCTGTCAATTTTCACTCTGCCTACATAATGGCAAGGAATGGAAGTTGGCGAAATCCAGATGAAGATATCTTTTTGAAGTTTTTGCGTTGAAAAGAATTTATTATTAGACTCGCTCCTCGGCTCATATACATAACAATTGAAATGAGTCGACTTTACCGAGTGCGGGATAAATGTCTAAGCGTAGATTCTTGACTTGGCTGGCAAAAATTAGGAACAGTGTGGACAGATCAATTTAAAATGCGTAAAATTTTAAATCTCTTGTATCTATCTGTTATCTACATCGCGTCCTGCGTAAATGAGTTATCGCCCCGGTTAAAACTGATACAATAAATAAAATAACAATAAATATACTATCACAATGCGTTATTTTTTTGTAAATATAAGTATTATTAAATAAAATAGATGTAGTCCAGTGGAATAGACACCAATACTTCTCACGCATCTGTCACATTGCCCGCATTCTTGCACCAAACAATGAATTTCGAGATAATGTTCTGGCCAATGCGGATAAAAATATACTTATCTTTTAGAACACCTTTACTCTGGACTTCTATTTGGATGTTTCTTTTTAATATTTCTTAACATTAAAAAATCAACATGCAATTTATGAAAAAAAATTCTAGGTCCAAGCAACCACCCACGTCCGTTGCCATGGCGATGCTGCACATTTGGAGTATACGAATGTTCTCTGTTAACGAACACTAAAAGTTGAAAGAGTTACAATTTATTTATTTATTTATTTAAGTGTTAGTAAATTGCGGTATAAATTTTCGAATTAATAAAATGTGAAATTTCTACATTCCTTTTTATTACACATCACCAAAATATGCTATAATATATTTAGGAATTATAAAATTGTTGCCAACAGGCTACCTTTAACAAGACAATATAATAACTTTGTTTTGCTTTCCCGTCTGTTATCAGGCCCGTGTTTGGTACGTGCGAGACATTGGCCAAGAAGAGCTTGGAGGCCCCTTTAAGAAAGTCGTAATGGATAATTATTGTTCATTAATTTTTCAATTAGCTTTCTGCGCTTAACATATGATTTTTAATACTGTATATTTATGCTTAATAAAATTTATCAAACTTATCTTTTAATTGTTTACTATTTATAATAATTTTATGACTTGTTGCTCTATTCAATTTTGCATATTTTCGATATCTCGAATGTTAGAATGCCTCAATGTCTGGAAGCCCCTGGGCCTAGGCCCGGTAGGTTCACATTTAAAGATGGCCCTGGCTGTTATGNTACTTTTTTTTATAAATATGAGTATTTTTGAAGAACTTATATGCAGTCCAGTGGAGTGGACACCAATAGTTTTCATGTATCTGTTACATTGCCGTATTATTGCAGCAAACTATGAATTTCGAGATAATGTTCTGTTTAATACAGATGAAAATATGAAACACCAACTTCATTTTGTTTATCTTTTAGAACATTTTTACTCTGAATTACTATATGGTTGCTTCTTTCGGATTTTTTTTAATGTTTCTTAACATTAAAAAACTAACATGAATTTATTACGAAAAATATAGGTCAAAGCAACCACCCACGTCCGTTTCCATGGCGATGCTGCACAGTTGGACTATACGAGTGCCCTCTGTTAACGAACACTAAAAGTTAAAACGGTTACAATTTATTTCTTTATTTAAGTGTTAATAAATGGCGGTATAAATTTTCGAATGAATAAAATTTCAAATTTCTACATTTTTTTAATTACACATGACAAAAATACGCTATAATATATTTAGGAATTGTAGAATCGTTGCAACAAATTGCCTTTAACAGAACAATATAACCTCTTAGTTTTACTTTCCCGGCCGTTATCAGGCCGGTTTATTATACGTGCGAGGTCATTGCCAAGAAAATCTAGAAGGTCCTTTTAAGGAATTCTTAATAAAGGGTTAATTTTTCATTAATTTTTTAAACTAGTTTTATGCGCTGAACATATTGCTATATTTATTCTTAATAAAATTTATCAAACATATGTTGTAATTGTTTACTATTTATAATAATTTTACTACTCGTTTCAATTTGTCTTTTTAATTTTATTTGTTTATTTCAAATACTATTTTTTCTGTGCAGTTCTATTTCCTATTGAGAGAACCGAAGGAACAGAGTAATCTTCGTTTACCGGCGACTCTCTCAAAGGATGGCTAAAAATGTGAGTGGGAAGGTCAATGAGTACTGTACGTCGACAGGTTTCGAATAAATACACAGGTTGACCAAAAATAACACGTTTAATAAACAACTATAAAATTATACGTATGGAATACAAAAGCAAAAACGGAACAAATCGAAACAATCAGAAATTCTATTCTAGCTCGCGACAATTATTCGTCTTCCCATCGAACATTTACGTTCTATTCTTGAAGTCAAAGTAAGAGACGAGAAAAAGCTCTCTAAGAGGGACGTCTCGGAGAGCGAGATAGTCGAAAATTCTTAAAAATATATCTAACTCTGGTATACGACGTCGTCTGGACTATCGTTGACATGGGAGGTGGTCATCTGGTTATCTTCGGATAGAGGCGACAAGTATGGCAGGTGGAGACGGACAGAGTGGCGGTAGGGGTCTGTTGTTCGCTGTACAATGGGTGATCATATTATTAGAGCCACAACGTAAAAAATACATTTTTTCAATTTACACAGCAATAAAAGCATGAAACTAAGAAAAATGTCTAAATTTCTTTATTTACTTATTTCTAAGGGGTCTTATTGATAAAATAAAAATACAAATCAGGTGTTTATATTTATATTTGTAGAACTAAAAATAAATGTAGAAAATATGTTTAATATTTTGTTGAACCACCTTTTGCAGCAATCACTGCTGCAACTCTTCTAGGCATACTTTTTATGCATTTCAAGCATATTTTTATTTCTTCACTCCTGTGCCACACTTTTATTAAACGCATATTAATTGCCGCTTGTTGGTGTAAGATCCCTGAAAACTTTTCTTTTTAGCAGCTCCCAAATGTTATCTATAGGATTATGGTCTGGGGCCATTTCAAAACCGTTTCAAAGATTTCATTACAGGCCATTTTAAAACCACAATTTGTTTATCTGCCAGATTGTGACTATTATAGTCTTGTGGCAAAGAGAAGAGTTACACATAAACAAAAAGTCACCATTTTGATACCATTTATCAACTTGGGGAAGTATCTTAGTGCCTAAGACCTTCATATATTGCCAGTAGGACAG